ATATATATATATATATGTGTGTGTGTGTGTGTGAGTGTGTGTGTGTGTGTGTGTGTGTGTGTGTGTGTGTGTGTGTGTGTGTGTGTGTGTGTGTGTGTGTGTGTGTGTGTGTGTGTGTGTGCGTGCGTGTGCGTGTGTGTATCTGTGTGTGCGTGTGCGTGTGTGTGTATGTATGTATGAATTTATAACAAATATGTGTCGTATCACAGAATTTTTCATATACCACATATATTCTACTAACTTACTGTTGCTAATTTCTCAACATTAACTCTAATGCAAATGGTGATATTACCTCGATAACGCCACCACCACCCAGGGTTTGGAATTGTAAGGGAAACCCCGAGAAAACTCAATTTTGACTTCCCAAATTTTAATTTATTTAGCTTGACTTAACAGTCTTAAGGCTCGTGGGGTGGAATGATTTTATTCTTCTGCTGAGTGTATGCATAAGACATAATGGTTATAATAACAGTTGCAATAACACCGTTACAATAACACTTTTATTCTTTAACCGTATAAAAACATACAAGTTGCATACCACAAGGAATATCCTCTACTAACCTGAATCAAGTCTAAGGTTAATTCTTACCCTCCCTTTTCTTGCTACTTATAACGCAGTAACCATAACGATAATAATAACAATTGTAAGGTGGAATGGAGAGTCAACCCCAATACTTCCCGATAATTTTACGTGGTCGAATAAGTAATCAGTCCACTTCTTTCACGATTTTCCTTTCTGACACATTACCTTGGGCCATTGTTCCTTTCCTAATTCATTCTCTGCCACAACCAGCTCCTTTGACTAATTTCGTTGCTTCAACACCAAAAGAGAAAAAAAGGAAAAACATTAACTGACGGAATCATGGCGTGCTGTTCTCCCATGAATGTTCCTCTTGTTTTGTCTCTGCGTGTGAGATGAAGGCAGCGATTCGTTTTAATTATCACAATTCAATTCATATGAAATTCTAAGACATTACAATCTTTAATTTCCGGGTAAAACAATATTTCTTAACAGAGAGAGAGAGAGAGAGAGAGAGAGAGCACATGTGTTATATAAAGTTATTAAATTTATCAACCTATGTTGCTCCCAGCCCAGTCTTTCCTTTGTCGCCGGAGTCGTCACCTTCTTCCTGTCAGAGAGCAACAGCAGGAGAACGTGGCAGACCTCAAGCTCCGTCTCTCCAAGGATAAATTAAAACCAAACAGCGAGAAGGCTAAACTTGTCAATAACAGTTTACATTACTACGCCTGAATCCATCATTATCTTTTGGGATACTATAACTTTCGTTTTTTTTCAGATTGGGACGATTTCCGTTTTTTTTTTTCAGATGGAATGAATGATAGTTTTGTGTTCCCTTACCGGTATGCTATAAATAATGATATAATAATATAATTAATCAGTTGAGAAAACTGTAAAAATAGCTTAGAGGCAACAGATCATTAAGGTTATTATCAGCTGTACTTTCCAAGTTTATAGAGATGTGAGGAGTTGGAAATTTTATAAATATATATCGTAGCGTCGTCGTTTAGTCGTG